TGCTATGCTCTAGCCTTTAGGTAGTACCGAGCACTAGGCTATTAAAGGAGAGAATGACCATACATGAACGTAGGGAAAGTGAAGATGTCAGTCGAACGAGGGGTTTGTTCAAAATTGTCCAACCTAGCAGCTAGGTCTTTACTCTTTTCACGAGTAGTAGCCATCTCGATTTGGACAGCCGCTATTTGAGTCTGTAAATGTTGCTGGCTAGTGACAAGATGAGCTAATTGTCTATTGAGTGCATCAAACTATGAGGGGTCCATGGTGAATTTACTAGAATTAGGTGTGAATAGATGACCACTACGCAACTGCATGCAATGTAATACTAGCTATATGACTCGCGATGGAGAGATCAATGAACAACAAGTGCAAGTAACGAAAAATAGCAACTTGAGCATTTAAATTAAAGGTTTGGGATTAAGTAAGTCCAAATATGGCAAGCTAATACTGCTGATAGATGTAAAATAACAAAGCGAAGGTCAAATTACCAGTCAAAATCTAATCACGTAAAATAAGTGGGATAAAAGTAGGGTCTAGCAAATGCTCAATCATGTGATTTTGGGTAAAGTAGTCTTATAGCAGAACAGAAAATTAATTGATGCGATTTTAAATTAACAGTAATATAGGTTAAATATAGATAAAAACAGTAACTTCCCTATTTGTTCGCTGAAGTAACTGGGTCGATCAACAGGAAAAGAAGAGGTACTTGCAAAACAATGTTAGAAAATACAATTTTTTTTCGCTTTTTCTTTTCTTTTCCTTTTTTTTTTTTTTATATAAAACTCCTAGCTAAACAAATGGGCCAAAACAGGGATATAAATAGTGGCCCAAAAATAAAATTAAAGACAGGCTTTATACTAAAGCCCAGACAAAACTTCAAAGTTACAATTGGTAACTGGGCTTGGAACTCCCGACCCCTTCCATACGAAACGGCCCCCAATATTTGCTCCATTATCTGTAGAATTGCTGGCAGAGGTATAGGCAGCGAAGGCGGTTGGTTGTTGTACTGGTTGGCGTCGTAGCTGTTCAAATTGGCGAAGGCGATGGGTCGATTTGCGGTTTGGGTTTGTCAGTTTCTGGTTGTTGTCACGAGTGAGGAGGCTTCACTGAGTTGGAGGTGATTTGTAGAAGATAATGTTGGAATTTGTTGGACAGAGGTCAAAGCAGATGCAGAGGCGGCAATGGGACTGTGGTAATGGAAGCTACTTGTGGGTTTGATGCGCTCGTCTTGAGGTGGATAGCACGGTGACGAAGACGGTGTGATGATTTTGGGTCGGGTTAGGGTTTTTTGTGTATGGACCTATTTGATTTTGGATGTGGGCTGCTTTTGTGTTATGGATTTACCTGGTTTTGTTTAGTTGGGTAAGCTATCGTAAGGATGAAATCAATTTAGGCTGGGTTATAAGTATTTGTAAGTTGGGCTTAGGGGCAGTTGGATCGTGGTTGGGGTTGCTAGGCAAGTTACTCTTCTTCTCTTTCATGGCAGTTCTTCGAATCCAGATTTCAATAAAAGTATCGATTCATTGAGGGCAGAGCAACAGAGATGAACACCTAGAAGTATTTCCAAAATTTGGCTCTGATACCACTTTGATGTAGAATGGATTGAAGAAATTAGAAGCACGATAGGTAAAGAAGATAGCTAGGGGAAGAAGAAGAAGGAGAGAAGGAGAAGAGAAGAAAAGGCGGTGGAAAAGGAAGAATGCTTTTGCAACACTCAAAATTCATTCATCCATCAAATTTGTCTCTCATGCATAGAATGCTGCGTACTTTTATACAATATAAAGCATAAAAAGGCTTGGGCTAGCCCAATACATGATACAAGCCCAAAAACAAAATAAAAGGCTTGGGCAAGCCCAAAACATAATACAAGCCCAAATAAAATATTAACTAAATAGTCCAAGCTAGATGTCCTCATCAATCAAAGTATGTTGGATGAATGGGAGTAGTGCTACATTAATTTTATGCAATAGAAGGTTTCTACAAACTTAAAAGGTCATTTCTATATATATCAATTATATGACTTGCTATGCTCTAGCCTTTAGGTAGTACCGAGCACTAGGCTATTAAAGGAGAGAATGACCATACATGAACGTAGGGAAAGTGAAGATGTCATAGATGAATTTGTGATCATACTAGAATGGACAATGAAATGGAAATTTACTCCAACATATGGAGGTAATGCCTATTGAGGAGAAATTAATAGAACGAGGACTTAGACCAGATGAGTGATTTCATCTCATTAGAGAAGGTTAGAAACATAGAATAGAAAGGGCAAACCTTATCTAAGAGGGTTTGTTGTGGTTGCCAAGGATGCAATATTTTTTTCTCTTCCTATAAATGTAGTAATGAACTAAGGAGTGGCAGGGATTCATGTTGCCTTTATTGTTGTTGAGGACATTTACGTGAATGTTTCTCATACAACTTTTGAAATTTTTATTCAATTTCTGTACTTGCTAGGAAGAAAATTATTTTTGCAAGTCATATGATGGTAATGGCATTGGCTATGGTATTCGATTTTAAAGATCTAGAGAATTGGTTGTGGTGGTTCCAAGTAGGGATGCTGGGGCCTACTGTTTGTGCTGACCGTGTAAGGATTATGTATTGCTTAGAGCCTGAGAGAATACTGTTGGGAAAATAGGTGATTTGTGTATAGATTATTTATCAATTAACACAATAAAATAAAAAATACAATTCAAGAATAATATAACATGAAATAGAGAAGAGATTTAGAAACCAATCCTTGGAAGTCACGTCGAGGATGTTGTCTTAAAATCGTATTGCCTCTCCTTCGTGCGGGTTCTTTCGGTATTACACGACTCCAAGATAAAACTCATGTGACTCCTTCTATGGGCACGACCATAGGAAGATAAGTGAATGAGCCTTTATTGAGATATCAAAAGTATAATATAAAATTGTAGAAACGGATAATGTTTCAACTGGGTCTTTCAAATTATAGAAATGACTCCCTTTTATAGTGTAAATCTTTAACCCCCACAATAATGAGAATTATCCCAATCAACATATAAGTTACACTATGAAATTATGAGTTTTCATTTTGGAATTAAACCTAGAAATTAAAAAGAAAACTGAAAATTAATGGGTATTAGTTTTGAAAGGTTGAAACTTATATTATGTTACAACAAATACTTCTTTTTATAACTCGCCTTTAATGAAGTTATCTAAGATATTTAATATGAAATTTGCTAAAAGTATTCTTTAAGTATTGTGAGCACTACTGGGACTAGTAGGCATCTCTTCTCTATATTTGCTATGGTTGCAAGTAGGGCAGCTGGGGCCTGCTGCTTTTGCTGCCCTTGTAAGGATTTTGTGTTTGCTCAAAGCTTGAGAGAATACGGCTTTTTATAACTCACCTTTAATGTAGTTATCTAAGACATTCAATGTAATATCCCGAATTTTTATTACTAGTCATTAGATTAAAAATTAAGATTTAAGTGCGTCATTATTAAAGTTTAATGACCTTATTGGTTATTGACTTAGTTAAATGACCTTATTAATTACTAGCCAATAGTTTGAAAATCTAAGTGAAGAGTTAAATTGGAAGTTAAATAAAATTATATGTATGTCAATTAGCCATGATTAGAGATGATTTATTTTGACCACATGCATTATTCACCACATTTTAAGCAAAGTAATTGTTTTGACTACATAAATTAAGATAATTGATTAGACCACATGCATCATTTACACCAAGATTCAAGCCAAGTCAATTGATTTGATCACATAATTGAAGGAATTGATTTGACAACTTTTAAGACAATGCACCAATTATGCTTTGACCATGCCTACCATCTAGCCATTTCCTTTGAATTTTCTATACATGGTCCAAGAACTTGCACTATAAATAATAGTTAAACTCAACATTAGACTATCTCTCACCAATTATTTACACTCTTCTTCTCTATCTCTATCACTTTGTCTCTACACCTTTACTCTTTCTCTTGTCTTTTTTATATTAAATTTAGTCATACACTTACACAATCACACAACCTAGCACGCGGCTCAAGGATCTCCCACCAACTATCACTTCTTCTATCATTTTTGAATTATCAAGTGAAAAGTAAGTGTAGTAGTATGAATTGTTCTTTCATTATTTAAATTACGGAAATTTATATTATGAATATGATGATACAAAAATTCTAGCTATGATTATGATAAGGGTCCTATATATGTAAGTTCAAAGGACCAGAGTTTAGTAGCACTACGCATGAGAATTATAGCCACGAAGTTTGGATTTTAATTCTCGTGTCTCCATATGTATGTCATGATTTTCCATAATTAAATATGAGATGGAAATTCGTTATTACTCATTTACTGAGATTTATGTCTCACATGTATATGTTAAATATTTTATAGGTAATTAAAAGAGGCAGGTTCGAGGCGATCGGAGGTGGATTGTGCTTGCATGATTGAAAATGAATAGTGATTTAAGTAGTTAAAGATTTTAATGTCGTTTATTGTATTTTCTTTAAAATTTGTTTTAAACCTTTCATGTTCAGAAAATATTATGTTCTTCCATTATTTATAAAAGTATTATTTACGGTGCATGTATAATGATTTTAAAGGTAAAAATTTGGGTCGTTACACTCAGTGTGAAATTTACTTAAACTGTGCATTAAGCATGTCAACTATTAATTGTTGTGAGCACTACTGGGGCTAGCAGGCATCTCTTCTCCATATTTTGCTGCATTTGTTTTCCAGCTAAAAGTTGGAGCTTCATCGCTGGCTAATAACCTAGGCTAGCATCCCCACCTTTCACTTAAGTTAAAACTTCAAAGGTCTGAAACAGGACAAATATGAGTCTCTTCGACCATGATTCCTTATGCTGACAGAAGCAAGCTATCTAGCTTCTGCTACCTGCTTGATGTGATGATCATTATGTGGCATGGTCACACCTATAGTTAGTTTTGACAGTTCGATATATGATACATCAATGACTTTCTGTTACTGAATTTTGTTTACTTACTATTTTATTGGTTTAGGCATTTTCTGCTGTTCTTTTGCTCACATAGTCGAGGAATTTAGGTTAACTGGAAGGTTCAGAGGTTGCTTTATAAAAACTGTTCGAATAAGCATGCCACCAAATTCAAGAGTTGCAAAATCCTTTCATGCTATGAAGGCTATCGGGGTCTCTGAGGATAAGGTGCAGCCAGTATTGAAAAATCTACTACGGTTGTTTGATAAAAATTGGGAGCTTATTGAAGAGGAAAATTATAGAGCCCTCGCTGATGCTATATTCGAGAGGGAGGAAGCAGAGGTGTGGTGTTCCCCCCAAAAAATCTTCTTTTTTTCTTTTTCCTTTTTTTTCTCTTTGGAGTCATTACCTTTCCACCTGTTAAGACTCTTTGCAATTTGTGGTTATGAATAATTTTGTTGAAGTGCAAATTTTTCTTGGTTTACCTTATCATTCAGGCAATAGAGCAATCGAAGAAGATTGGAAACAATGAAGTAAGTAGTTATTTTATTTTTCTCTTGATGGTTGTGCTTTCTGAAAACAATTTACACTTAGACACCGTTTGATAGCCTTGGAATTCCAAGGAAAATGGAATTTAAATTCCATCTTTCCAATTTTGTAGTGGTTGATTAGCAAAATTTGGAATGAAATTGATTTTCCATCTTTTATGGCCATATCAGCCAATTCCACCAAATGGTGGAATTGAATGGTGGGAATTTCAATTCCATGTTTTCACGTCTTTTTTTATTATTATTTTAAATTTTTTTAATTTTGCAATTTAAACAAATTCTAAAAATTATTGTAATAAATTATATCCCTTTAAGTGAGAATTCTCATGTAAAACAAAGTCAAACGAACACAAAAAGATAGATGAATTTCGATTTTCTTGGCCTTTTTTTTTTTTTGGTAATGGAAACAAATTTTATCCCTAATACCAGTAAATTTTATCCCTTTAATTGATAATTTTCATGTAAAAGAAAGTCAAACAAATACCAAAAAACACTTTTATTTCAACATTTTTTATATGAAAAATTATACAAATCTAACACAATAAATTAACAATTCCGAGGAAAACAATTTTCAAGCAATTTAATTCCCCGAAATTCGTTTTTTTCCAACCAAATTCCATCTTTGCAATCAAATGGACTTTTATTTTTGTCAATCTTTTGACACTGAACCTGTCCACTGCCCTTAATGACAGGAGGATTTTTTGGAGGAAGAAGCTCAGGTGAATGTGGAGCCTGAACGACCCGTAAAAAAGTCGCGATTAAGAAACTGAGAGGGTGAAGCATCGCCCTCCATAAATAATACTGGCTTGCCCGGAACTTCACTTGTCATACTTAAAGAAGAACAGGATGAACTTCTTGAGTTGTGTCCCCAGAATCAGAATCAGTCGCAAGGCATAGCATACTCACCTCAGCCCAACACTGGAAAGTTGACAACTGAATCACAGGCTGCTGCATGCCAATCACTTGGTCAGAACAAAGAGGAGCCACCTGTTTCTCCCAAATCAGTGATGGTCCAGTAGAGGTGTGATCCCTCTTGGAGTGTTAGAATATGTGATCAACATCAACCAAGCTGCACCAGATCAATCCAGCAGGTTCTCTTCCAACTCAACCAGATTCCAGAGATTCCAATGGATCAGATTAAATCTCCAGCCTTCCACACGGATTCTCCCAGCTGTCTCCAGCTCCCAGATTCTTTCTACAGCTGTTAATTAGTTGGTAGTTTAGTTAGTTAGTTTAGTTTCTCATTTTCTCTATAAATACCAGACCTTGTATAGCTTTTAGATCATTGGAGAATTTCTTCTTCCAATCCCTCCCTTCCATGGAGGTTATCTTCCTCCTACAATGGAGGGTCTTTTATATGGAACTCATTCCGGTTCCTTTGTATTTCTTTTCTCCTTTTATGGAGTTCAATTCAATATTGTTTCTTGCTTCAATGATGAAGCCTTTCACATTGTTTTCATTCAAGAATTTAACATGGAGTAGTGCTGTCAATAAGAGTCAGCAAAAAACCAGTTCGAGAACTGAATCCAATTTAGTTTCTCATCCCATGTGCCTCAGAGATAGAGGAAAGGGAGCTCTGTCATCTCAAATTCCTCCTGGGGAGAAGAGGTAATCTCTTGCTGGATGCCATAAAGAGCCAAGCCTTGAGCCCAGCATTGCAGTGTTGCTGAAGACCATTACCAGTCATGTTTTAATTAAAGACGAGCCGGTCACCTACGACATGTCACAGCTTGAGGTTCCTATTGCAGTCATCCAGCCAGGTTTAGTTTACCTGTCCTGGCTGAAAGCTAATATCATTTTGACACATTGCTTTTGTCTTATGTGAGCTTCGTTTCTGCATTTCTATTTTCTAACTGTACGCATCTAATTTTTGCCCATATAATTGGTCCCTCTGCGTCCTTTTGGATCATTCGAATCATCTGCCCCATTTGGCTCTCAGAAATTTCCGGTCCTGGAGTTTGTTAGTTTCTGTTTTCATGTTTTTTAAAAATTCTAGACCTCTGATATTTTTGACCTTGTTCAATAGGGTGAAGTGATTTACTTTTTAGGGTTGTCAAAGTGGATGCTTATTGATTATGACTTTCTCATATACTATATTGATCATCATATATTGGCTGTTGACTTTGAGAGGAGTATTTGCTGCCCAGTTGTGGGTTATTCCATTAAGGTCCCAGATCCTGACTTGTTTGAACTATTAATATATTTGGCATATGTTTGACACATTCAACTTAAGGGTTACTTCCCGCATTTGCCTTTATCTATTTCATAGGAAATATTGCTGAATTTTTGTGAGTTCATTTCAGATCCATCAAGTAAAGGAGAGTCATCAAGTGGAAATGGTTCAATCAGAGAAAATAATGGTCCTGGTGTTGGAACCGGTGGAAACGAAACGCAAGAATTGAGATTTAATGGACACCAATTTGAAGTATAAATACAAGATCGCAAAAATACCAAGAACAAGATTAAAGTAAAGAAATAAGCTGATAGAGGAACGATGTTATTTTATTCCATCAATGAAAGGAGAGAATTACAACAATTGGCTTCAACAATACTGAAAGAGGAGATTCATATTTATACCACAAGAGTCTAGCACTAAAAGAGTCATAAAAAAAGGTAAGAATTCTAGGTTAAACGTGAAAAGGAAAAAAAAAGATACAAGGACTTTGTTTCCTTATTTTCCGGATACTATTTGATTCTCCAAATCCATCACGCATCTTCAAGATTTCCTTTCCAATTTGAGTCACAAACTCTAACACCTGGTCCGCTAGAATCACAATCTATGGGTGAAAAAGGCACAGCTGACGGGGATCCCATATCAAATGAAACGAGAAGCAATGGCGAGCCGGCAATGGTTTCAGGTGAGTCTTTTCAAGCCTTGAAATCGTTTCCTCACCTTCTGGAGAGTTGAAAATTTCTTTGGACTGCAACTTGGCTTTTGGAAGGCCTGACTTTGACATTCCTAGTTTTGATGTAGTGTTAAAATTTGTGGAGGATAAATGTCTCAGATCATACAAAACTTCTGATCTGAACTTATCTGTGATGGAAGTTATGAAAGAAATGTGCGAATGCTTTCTGAAATTCTTTAGGTGCTAAAGGTGTGAGTTTTAATTCTTTGGATGGATCAGTCAGTTCTCAGTTTGATGAGCAGTTAGTTCTGCCCCAAGAATCACCTTGTGATGGCGTGGATGGCGGCATGCAGCTTAACAGGAAGGCAAGTGAAAATTATTGTGAAACAAATGAAAAAAAATAAGGAGAATGATCTTGAAGACACAAACTTCCAGCATGTTGTGGTTAGCCAGGAGCGTCAATTGCCACCTGAAAGGATAAGGTCACTCCATGACGTTGATATAGCCAAGGGACAAGAGAAAGTAGTGATTACTTTTGTGAATGAAGTTAATAACAAGTCTCCACCATCTTTCTTCTACATACCCAAAATTGCTTTTTCCCAAAATGCACATGTAAATTTTTCTCTAGCTCGTTTAGGAGATAATAATTGTTGTTCAAATTTTTCTGGTGATTGTCTTTCATTATCTATGCCTTGTGCATGTTCAAATGAATCAGGCGGTGAGTTTGCATATACAACAGATGGACTCATTAAGGAGGACTTCCTTAAAGAGTGTATTTCAATGATTCGGGATTCTGAAAAACACTGCCGGTACTTCTGTAAGGAATGCCCACTCGAAAGGTCAAAAAATGAAGATATAGTTGGATCTTGCAAAGGTCATTTGGTGAGGAAGTTCATCAAAGAATGTTGGGTGTAACATTGTGGCAATCAAGTGGTACAAAGGGGAATGAGTCGCAAGTTACAGGTAGGAGTTCCTGGCTATGTTTGGACCTAGATCCAACCCCATGTGCTTCTTGCTTGATTATGGAGTCCCATGGTATCATTGATGCTTCAATAGTAAGGTTTTCCATGATTGCACTTACTTTAACTTACGTAATGTTTTTCTTCAGGTGTTTATGACCCCAGTTGGAAAAGGGTGGCGTTTATGTACCCTGGAGGACCTTCCAAAGGGTGCCTTTGTTTGTGAATATGTTGGAGAAGTTTTAACAAATGCAGAGCTATAAGATCGTGTACAGAGCTCCAAAGGGGAAGAACATTCATATCCTGTTCTTCTTGATGCTGATTGGGGTTCAGAAGTTGTGGTGAAGGATGAAGATGCTTTTTGTTTAGATGCTACACATTATGGTAATGTAGCAAGGTTTATTAATCATAGGTAAGTTTCATTTGATTGAGAATTCATGCATTTTGTGCATCATTTTTTTTCCCGAAGTTCACTGTTGTGTGTCACCATGTCTCTTAGTCTTAATCTCTAGTGTGCCAGCAAGTTAGTAACCTATTCTGGTTTATCCAAAAAATGAGCCCCCTCCAAAAAAGAGAGAGCAAACCAAGGCAAAGGATTATTTCCTTTATGTTATCTAAAATTACTCCATTGAAGAGCTTAGTAGAGCTTTGTTTAAATGACTAGTCATTCAATACAAATATTGAAATGCTGTTTGTTTATCACATTGTTTATGATAATGTGAAGATAAGATGGGAAACTTGAAGAAGGTATGCATTAATTTTAAACTTTTGTTTTTCATTTATTAGACTATCCTATTCATCCCATGTTATAATGCTCACTTCCTAAAACTCTTATGCTTATGTAATTGAGTCCCTCTCTCCCTCCCACAGATGCGCAGATGCACATGCATATACCCATAAAATTGCATTTGCTTAATATGTCAGCATCCTTGTCAAAGACAAAATATTATTTTGTCTCCTATCTCCCTCTGCAATTCGTTAAATTTTATAGAAGAGGCCTCTCTTTTTCAGAGCCTTTCTTTGATTTCAATTGCAAATTTCTTAATAGCCATTTTTATTTTGCTAGGTTTTTTGATTCAAACATGGTGGAGATACCAGTGGAAGTGGAGACACCTGATCAGCACTATTACCATGTATGAAATCATATCCTACATGTTTTACTTTTTCCATTTTCCATGTTGCCTGCTATTAATTATTCGTATCCATATTTTTATTGGATTTTCTCTCTTGATGCAGCTTGCTTTCTTCACTACAAGAAAGGTAAAAGCCATGGAAGAACTCACTTGGGTAAGTAGGATATATTTCATTGGATTATCCTTTATGTATAAATGTGCCTTTTGTAGTTCTAGGGAGTTACAGATGTCTATTGTTAGATAGGTAATGTATATTTGACTGTGTGAAATGATTAATGGGAAAAACACTTGCTTCATGTTGGATAACCGAAGGAGCAAGAAAATGTTCAATTTGGAATTGTGAAAATGTGGCAATGCCAATAATATTGGTGGATGTTTTTAATCTAGACCACATTTTACTGAAATTGGCATCATGTTGAGGAAGCACTATGTCATTGAAAAAGGATTTTTGGTGTCTTGAAAACGTCATAAATCTGTTTGAACCTTGCCCTTCTAAGGCTATGCCATCCTAAGGTGCTGCCAGGGCCGGTCCTAGGCACAGGCAAATGAGGCCTGTGCCTCGGGCCCAAAACCACAAAGGGCCTATTTTGTTCCAAAGTTTTTTTTTTAATATTAAAAGAAGGAAAAGAAAAAGGAAAATAGTTTTTTCATTAATTGTGAAATGATTGAGATATTTGTTTGTTGTTTTAATCTTAAGTTTTAAGTTAACAATATATTGTATAATATATCGTTGAATTTTGCATTTACGTTGATTTTGGGAGCCTAATTTTTGAACTTCGCTTCGAGCCCTGACAATCACAGGACCGGTTCTGGGTGCTGCTAAATGGATGGATATTATTAACCCCACGAATGATAAATGGCCGAATCGAAAAAATTGGGTGCTAGAATTGCTATATAGGATTTTGTTTACTGAGGGTTCGAATCCCTTTCTTTCTGTAACTTCATCTAATTAACTATTGTCACTGACCAAAATGTATTAAATCAAAATGGACATCATTATTCCAACAGTAAGACCTTTCTTTGATATAAATTCTCTATTCCTAATTGCTGTTTTTGGGAAAATCCTGGAAAGAGACAAGGAATTGAAAATGCTAGTATGCTTTTGCAACTTTCAGCCTCTTCATTGCTAGTTGAAGACCATCTGTGGTACCAGTAATATTTTAGTGGAACATATCCCGTTGAGCATAAATTCATGGTAGGATGAGTTACAAGGTTGGGGTATGTCACTGAAAGAAACTCCCTTTCACAAGAGCGATGAGATCCTAATAGAACATATTGGAAAGGGAGAGTTATACCAGAATGAACATGGTCTATTGTAGTTAAAAACATCTAGATTTCCTTAGATCTTCCAATGGATGTTGAGATGATTGAAAGTAGTGAAAAAGCAAGCATGTGGCTGATCCTGAATTTTATAGGAATAAGGCTTATGAGGTTGTTTTGTTTAGTTATACGCATATGTCTGTATTTTTTATTTTTTTTATTTTTTGATACTCAGGTGTCTGCTTTATAGCGACTAATTCTGGGGCCTACGATCCAGTCCCTCTTCACACATATCAGGTAAATCGCGAGTTGTGCTCCAAACTGGCCAGGGTTTAAGAATCCTTCCAACTGAACTGCCAAAGTGTCGAGCGAGTCAAACCCATGTATGTGCTTTGCCTTCCAGGAGAACTCCTGCCTTCCAAGAAATATCCTGTCTTCCAGGAAAAAGCCTGTCTTCCAAGAACCCCAAAAATCGAACCCACGACCTTTGAACTGCCCGCCTTGAAGAACTCTGTCCTTTGCCAGTTGGGATGTGCATATGTCTGTATTTTATATCTATATGCTTGCGTGAGTTATTTTTTTTTTTTTTTTTTTTTTTTTTTTTTTTTTAACA